CATGTGAGGCGCTCTTAATGCCGCCATGTCATGTCTGCTGCCCACAGTCCCTGAGTGGAATGGTATAGAGAATAGGGATTCTCCGTGTTGCAAGAAGGGGATATATGAAGAGATTCAGTGACTTCCCCAGTTACCAGGTAGCTGCCCCAACTTTGCACCCAAGACCTTCTGTGTCTGAGTCAAGAGCTCGTGTCACTAACCCAGACAAGAAACAGCTAGAGAATAACTGAGTATCAGCCTAAAGTTGGGATGCAAGTTCAAGGTACAGATTCATGCTTGCCTCAATGGTCCAGGAATTGAGAATCAGGACAAGAGCCTTGCAGGTTATAAATGGTTACGCTTCATAGAGAAGACAAAACATGAGCATTTTAGTGTTTCTTTAACAAATTGAAATGGTGTAATATTTTCAAGGAAGAAACACTTTTTCCATAGAGAATTTATTTGGTTAGTTAACAGAACTTTTCTTTCTTGGGCTAAACGTAGTCACTTCTATTTTATATCCTGAAGTGTCTGTGTCTCCTGGTGGAGACATGTGAGCACTGCCATAGGCCTGGAATGTCCCAAGAGGGTAAGAATAGCCACAATGAGAGATGACTCCTGCTGTCTTTTGGTCACTGCAGTTGTCAGGAATGCCTTGCCTTAGAGGCAAGCAGCTTGGAGTCATCTCAACTCAGAGACAGAAAAACTGACCTCTTGCTCCTGGGTTTAAATCTTTTCTTTCATATCGCCATCTCTCACCTTTAAGTCATTTGTAGCTAAGATACATTTTTTTCCTGCAAAGATTTTCCACCTCCTTGGAGATCACAGGCTTCTGAGGTCTTCAACAGTCCTGGGTTTGCAACATTCTGGAAGCATGGACCGTTTGGACTTGCTCGGGTTCCTCATTATCACATTAAACTGCAATGTGACCATTGTGGGTGAGTACAGGGAACACCCCCAAAGCTGTTATTCTTTTTGTTTTTATCAGTTTGCCTATCCCACCCCCAAGAGAAAGGGCTGTGTACTGCCAGAGCAAAGTGAGCTATGGGTTCAACCTTCTGATTTTGCCAAGTTTCCACCATCCTTTGAAGAAAGACTTGTGTGTGAGTGTTATTTCTCTCACGAAACGTCTTCTTGCTGATATTCTGGTGCTGAGTTTGAAGACTGAAACAGGTGGAAGGAATATTTTTGTGTAACTCTCCTCTGGTTGCATTCCAGGAAAAGGAACGATACAGTAAAAGTTAAAGAGTAAATTAATGCCATAATTATGCTTTTGTCTTGTTCATCATTGTTGGGTTTAATCTTGACGTTTAATTTGTGATGATTGTCAATTTCTCTTGTGCACTTTGAAACAAATCCCAATTTTAGTTTAGTTTAGTTTTGTTTTTAATAAAGTAATAAGGATTTCTGAGTTTAGTGCAGACAAGTCAAGTTTTTTTTAGAGGTATGGGTGTCCTAGAAAAAGGAATTTGAGAAAAGAATTAAAATACGCTCTCAAAGTCATTGCTGTTTTTCTTACTTGTTATTTTGTAGAATTTAAACAAAGTCAACTTGGCCTTAAAAGTTTGAGCCAATGATTTTATCATGTTATGATATTTTTTAACTGCCTTCATTTATAAGTTTTGTTTTTCTGCTATAAGGTGATATTTTCTGTATCTCATCACAAAACAAAATATTGACGGATTATTTTGTCTAAGTCTTAGACATGTTCCAAAACAATTGACTTATGAAAAGAGGACTTTTGGAGTTATTTTGGTTCTCTACATTGGTTATATTTATTCACGATAAGTTGAGAAAAGACGAACCTCATTATTTCATAATAATTGAAATAGGGGGAAAGGAATTCTGAATTACTAAAAATTTTGAAAAATGGAATGTTCTTAAAGACATTTGATTTCAAAGATCATAAAGCAACATTAGATATAAGCCCTGTTATTAACTAAAGGTCTTGTGGACCATTATTATAAATACTTGCTGACATTAACAGTGGTGTCTGCCATACACAGTTACGGGGACGTGCTAACATCCTTTTTGAAAAAGTGCATTCTCCTAAGAAGAGTAAGATTTTATTTGTACCATTAATTTGCTCCCAACTTTCTTTGCAGACCTTTCAGTCCAGAAGACGTTACCAAATGTCTGAACTAGCAGAATCAGATTAAACATTTTTAGTATCTATGCTTCTTTAAAATCTGCTAATCTCAGAGCATTTACAGACAAGTAGCTCACATGGTGTCTGACACATTGTAAGTGCTCGGTAAATATTTGTCCATTGCACTAACCGGCTGTGACTATAATGCATGCTTCTGAACTTCTCACTTCACTCTCAGCCCCAGTCAGTATTTAAACGTTGTTAGGGGGCAGTGTGTGTGCAAGGTGGTGACAGTGCTTGTCCTGCCTCCTCTTTTCCAGGGAAGATCTGGCTTATCTTCATGATCCTCCTGAGGATGGTGGTGATTGTTGTGGCCGGGTCCCCAGTCTACCAGGACGAGCAGGAGCGGTTTGTGTGCAACACTCTGCAGCCAGGGTGCGCCAATGTCTGCTATGACATCTTTTCCCCGGTGTCCCACCTGCGCTTCTGGCTGGTCCAAAGCGTGTCTGTCCTCCTCCCTTCCGCGGTTTTCAGTGTCTACGTGCTGCACAAAGGAGCCGAGCTCGCCGTCCGGGGATCCTGCAGGCTAGATGGCGGTCCCGGGGCCCAGGACCCCGCGGACCCGAGTCCTGGGGATAGTCACTGCCCGCCGCACTACCGGGAGGGGCGCAGCCTGGTGGTGCCCGACTTCTCCTCCGGCTACATCGTGCACCTCTGTCTGCGGACTCTGACGGAGGCAGCTTTCGGGGCCTTTCATTACCTTCTCTTCGGATTTTCGGTCCCCAAGAGGTTCTCCTGCTCCCACTCTCCCTGCTCCGGCGCGGTGGACTGCTACGTCTCTCGGCCCACGGAGAAGTCCATCCTGATGCTCTTCCTCTGGGCGCTCAGCGCGCTCTCCGTGCTGCTCAGCGTGGCCGACCTGCTCTGCAGCGCGCGCAGCAGGACGCGTGGGGGACCCGGCCTCGCCGTGGGCCACCCCGGGAGGAGGCCGGGTCCTGCGACCCTGGTCGGGCCGTGGGAGGAAAGGGCAGCGCTCGAGCACCCTGGCTCGTGGACCGCAGGGCACGGTGCCCACAGCCCCAGTGGTCAGTCCGCTGTGTCGGGGCGGATGGAGCTTCCAGATGAGGATGAGAGTGAGGGGCTGTCTTCAGCCAGCGACAAGCTGCCCAGGGCTTGCACTGAGCCTGGGGGCAGGTCCCATAGAGAGACCCCTCAGGACGCCAGCAGCGAGCATCCCTTAACACCCTGCAGCCTGCCGGCCAGGCACTGCCCGGCCAGTCCGCGGCAGCCCCTCACTCGGCGGGCCGGCACTGGGAGCGCCCCGCTCCTGGGAACGAAAAGGTCCGAGTGGGTGTGAAAAGGACGGCCAGGCAGCGCAGCGACGGGCGCTCCAGTACCGGGGCCACCGTCCTGTCCCAAAGGAGACGGGGACCCGAAGATGCAGCATCACCTTGGCACGTGGGAAACGTTCCCTCTGCAATGTTCCTGGAGAATATCAACAGGCAGAAAGGCTAGCTGGCCGGGACAAATGGGAGACTCAGACTCGCACTACTGATTTAATCTAGATAACGCTTTCTGCTGAGGGGGCGGGGGAGGGGGGGGAGCCCTTGACATTCAAATACGGAAGCGAAAATGATGGGAAAATGATTAGCTGGAGATTGTCAGGTTACTTACTGATCATGCTACACTCTGACTGGTGGTCTATTGTCTTACTCTTTACCATAGTATGTGCTTATTGTAAAGCATGTTCTTTTACATTAATAGAGCTCATTAATGTTTTCTGGTGAATTATTATGAGGGTTTCTTTTTTTGTTTGTTTACTTGTTTGTTTTTCTGCTTGGATTAAAAAGGCATCTTATGCATGTCATCGATAGAGACATTAGTTTACCTTCTCCAGACCCCTTTAATAAAATCAATGCTGACTGCATTGTGATATCCCATTTCATACTTCATTTGTGGTTAGGAGAAATGACAAATGCAGAAAATATGGCTAGGAAACAATTGGAGTCTTTGGGGAGCATCTTTGATGGTTTTTGCATGTGGGTGGAAGGTGCACAGGATGTGGGTTGGGCCCGGGCTTGCTCTGTTGCTCCTGTGTGTGTCTCTGAGTGGCTGGCCTCACCGAGTAGAGAGAGCACATCGCTGTTGATGAGTGGTCAGAGAGCTGCCCCATGTTTTCCAGTTTGCATTTTGTCTGTGTCCTTTAGAGAGTTGTACAGTTCAGGATGCACTGCGAGTCTTCATGTTCTAGTGGAGCGAATGAGAAACACTGGGAGCGTTGTGGCTTCGCAGCCTGTGCTTTCTTTGTGTGTGCACTAGAGACAGCTGGCTCTGTTCTTGGGAGGGGCTTCCCATACACGCCTCTCTGTAGTTCTCTGCATTGTCCTGGTTTGTGTGACTCTGTTAAGAGCTTTAGAGCTGCCTTTAACCACCCAAAGGGAGGATGCAGTGTGGCAGAAAGGGTTACTATAGGACAAGATAAACCTGCTCACCTTCATCAAGAGAGGAGAAAGAGCCATCTGGAATACCTCCAGAATTGATGACTGTCTTCTGGTCCCCAAACATAAAATGGCTGAGGAAGAGGAATTGCCCTCACCAATTCAAATACAGTAAAACCTTGGATTGCGAGTAACTTGGTTTGCGAGTGTTCCGCAAGACGAGCAAACATTTCTAATACATTTTAACACGGTAAACAAGCGATGTCTTGCAATACAAGTAGTTTGTTTCCAGAACGAATTATGCTCACAAACCGAGGTATTACTGTAATAAAAAAGGTGAACAAGTGCATTCATGAAACCAATGGACACTTTAAACTGTTCTAAAGAAGACTTGGACAATTCAATATCTGCCAGGATGAAGAATAACATCCTACTTGAAATATCTACAGGATGTCAAAGCAATTGGTTAAAACTTTAAAAAAATCATCCAAAATTGGTTTTGGCATAAAGTTATTTGAATGAATATGCCTATATTTGACATACAGTCCCTTTCTCTCTCTCTCTCTCTCTCTCTCTCTCTCTCTCTCT